TATTTTTTAAAAATGGAAATTTTGGGGGGAGAATGACATTAAACTAGCTGCCTCATAATAAAATATATTTTGAATTAACTCAGTTCTGAGAAATTGGCTTGTAAAATTTTCACATAAAAAGTAAAAAGTACTTGCTTTACAAGCTTCTGTTTAATTATAATTATTAATCTGCGTAATCCTGATAGCATTACTGCTTCTTAGTTCCACATTTGCAGATGGTTGAAAGTAATCAAATGTGGCTTCTAAGCCAGGAAACCCTCTTTTTAAGAAAGAGCAAGCTTGAATGTCCCATCCTGCTAACCTAGTGGAGAATTGTTTTAAATAACATGAAATTAATTTCTTACAATCTAGTACAGCAAAAATACTCCTTTGTGTATATTTGATATCTCAGGTTGATTGCAGCCCACTGGCTGTGAAAGCGCACAGTCCGTGGAGGGGTAACTGCTGGGTTTCTCCTTACCCTGTGAGGGCCCCAAATCCCTGGATTGTTAACATGACTCAGTGCTGCAGGTGCGAGGTGCAGGTCTTCTCAGTTGTGTTGTTAGGGTTTGGACATGAAGAGGACATCAAGATTTTACAGATTAAAAGAATAACTGATAGTCCTTGATTTATGACCACAGCTGGGCCCAGAATTTCTGTTGCTAAGCAAGGCAGTTGTTAAGGAAGTTGCACCCTTATTTTATGACTTTTTTGCCATGATTGTCAGTCAAGTGAAGCGTGTGGTCATTAAGCAAACCTGGCTTCCCCCGTTGACTTTGCTCGCTGGAGGTGAACTAGGAAGATCACAGATTCATTTATTTATTTATGAGACTTATATACCGCTTTAAGTGCGAGCACTCTCTAAGCGGTGTACACCAGTAAGCAATGTATGTATATATTTACATTGCCCCCAACAATCTGGGTCCTCATTTTACCTATTCCGGAAGGATGGAAGGCTGAGTCAACCTTGAGCCGGTGAGATTTGAACCGCTGACCTGCTGAACACAGTCAGCTAAAGTGGCCTGCAGTACTGCGCCCTAACTGCTGTGCCACGACCCTGGATGCTACAATTGTGGTAAATACATGCTAGTTGCCAAGTGCCTGAATTTTGGTCATGTGACTGGGGGGATGCTGGGAAAGTTGTAGTGCAAGGATCAGTTGTAAGTCACATTTTTAGTGCTTTTGAAACTTTGAAACACGTAACCCAGAGGCTACCCATACACAGAGCTGGGAGGAGGAATCAGTCCTGAAATTACAGCAGTTTTTATACAGCATCTTGGTCAACTTTTTGCTAATTTTTTTTTAATAATAAAGGGACATGGAAAAACATTAGTCAGATCTTTTAAGTTCCCCAACTAACAATTTTCCAGGCCTTTTCATTTTTTATTCTGCTTATGAATTTATATTAAAACATTTTATAATTTAAATTATAGAAGATTTCATTGTTTACATTAGCTCAAAAATCTGAATGTTACTTGTAAATTATTTTTTTAAAAAAAATATGTTTTATTGGTTTTATTTTTACATATCACCATTAATATTTGGTAAACAGTGTGTATTTACAAATAATAACAGTTTCTATAATTCCATATTCCACATAGTAGCTTTCCTTGGTTCTCTCGTCTTCCAATAATATTCTCTTTTATAAACCTTAAATTAGTACATTTCTTGATAGTTTTAAAAGATAACAATTAAATATCTACGAATATCCTCCACCTCATTATTAAACTTCTTTTCTAATTAATCATCTAGATCACCTTATCATAGATCAGTGATGGCGAACCTTTTAGAGACCGAGTGCCCAAATTGCAACCCAAAACCCACTTATGCATCGTCGAGTGCCGGGTGGGTGTGGCCTATTGGGTGGGCGTGGCTATGGTGGTAATGGCAGACTGGGTGGGACTAAAAAGTTCAATCAATCAATTCCAACTTTGCAAGATCTTTTTTTTCCCGTGAAAAATTGAAATTGACTGATTGAACCTTTTTTTTTTTTTTTTTTTTTTTTTTGCACACAGCAGCAGAGTCCTAAAGCGAAAAGGGTTTTATAAAACCCAGCTGAAGGCCTAGGACTGGGGCGACGGTGCGCGTGCCCACAGAGAGGACTCTGAGTGCCGCCTCTGGCACCCGTGCCATAGGTTCGCCACCACTGTCATAGATCCTGTTTTTAGAGTTCTCATTTAAATTTATTTTCCCCTCAATATTCAAAAGAAAACATTTTTACCTGTTAAAATTTTCTTAAAGTTAATTACACTTAAATGTTGAAGTCTTTTTCCTCATATGAACCATCCCAACACTTGACATTTTTCAAATCTTGAAACAGACAGAACAAAGGACAGAAATAATATATTGTCTAAAAAAACATATCCCTCTTAAACTAGAATACATTTATAATCAATATTTCATTTTTAAAGCATATTCAAGTGTTCAAAATCCATTATATTTAAGTATTTAGTACATTTCCCTCATATAAATCATCCCAAACATTTTTGTATTTCTCATATCATAGGCAAAAAATACTGTATTGCTTAAGGAGCCTGTCCTATTCAAAATTTTATTTCTTTAACCGTATTCAAACAAGTGCTTAGTCTTTAAGTATTCCACCAAAAAAGTTCCATCTTCTAACTTCATAATTCTGGCTTTAGCCCCCCTCCCCCTTTTTTTTTTTTCCCAAACATTTTTCCTAATCAGTATGTTCCATTGAACCCCAAGATCTTCCCATGGTTTTGTAGATGTTGTTGTCAGTACAAAAGATAAGTCAATTAGAGTGTTTTTGTGGGAATATTCCTCAGAAATCTTTTTCTCTCTCTTAGTTTCTCCCATCACCTTTTTTCTCTCAAGTTCTTGGCATCTTGATGTATAGGCTATCTTTTCCATGTCCAGTATTTCCTGGAAGCTTTTCTCCATCTGAATTACATCACAGTTCCTTCCATTATTAAATTCCATCTCTTAAGTTTCTTTCCACTAGTTTATGTTCAGTTATCTGCTTTACTTGATCTCTCTCTCTGTTTTCTGATCATTTGTTTATTGTGACGTTAAATTGAGAATGTATTCATTTAAGTTTTCAAATTTATTTTTAATTTCCTCATGGTTTGGAATTAATATCATTTGTATTTGTTGTAACATAACATACATTTCCTCCTGGGAAGTATTTATTTTTTCTTGATATGTTCTTTCTGCAGACCTCTGATGCTCCATAATGACAAAAAATCAGTTTTCCTTTCTCTGCCAACCGCTTTAAAGTCACAGTTTAAAAAGTATTTATAATCCAGGAAGGTCATTTTTTTTCTAGGTTTTATAATTCTCGCTTTGTAGACAGTCTACAATGTTTTCTTTTATTTCAGCTGTTCTTTGTTTAGTTCAGTGGTTCTCAACCTTTTTAATGCCGCGACCCCTCAACCGGTCGTAAGTCGAGGACTACTCACCTGGTGCAGCACCGTTTGCAGAATGGGACTTTTGGCGGGCTCAGCAGGGCAGAGACAGCCTGCACAACTCCTATTGGCTTTTGAAAGCCAATAGAATTAGACTCTATTCAAGAGAGTCTATTCTATTGGCTTTCAAAAGCCAATAGAATAAAAGAGAGTAGCACAGCTAAGGAAAAGAGGGAAAAAATGGCAGACTGCGTTGTTTGGCGACCCCCATGAAATGGTCGTTCAACCCCAAATGGGTTGACCCACAGGTTGAGAACCACTGGTTTAGTTAAAGCTTTCAAGGTCACACTAACAAGTTTTTTCTGGGCTGTATATTTAGGGCAGTATTTTCATCCACCACTAGATGTCAGCACCAGTTCATTTTTCAGTTTTCAAAACAAATAATTACCATTTATTTCCATCAATCATCTTTTCCCAGGAGGATCCTAATATAATCCATCGATTTCACACTTTCCAAGTTTTTGATTTCATTTCTGTATAATTCTATTCCCCATACATTTAATTTACTGTTTCCATTTAGAGAAGGGTGGAGCAGAATCCCCCCCCCTCACTTTCGGAGGATTTTTACTTCTGGGTTTTGTTTTGTTTTTTAGGAAATCAATTAGATAGAAGAGAGAGAGTCAGTATTCTTATACAGTTCAATCACGCTATTTACGATCACACTTAATTTAGTACTTTTTGGCTTCAGCTGCATGTAGCTTGGGCTAAACTCATGAATGACGCTAGCCTTTCTTCTGCTGGTTTCTGGAGGCTTTCCCCCAGACGTCCAGATCAACCGCCGTCTCTCCACAACCGACGGGGCTTCTCTCCTTCTTTGCCACCTCTTCGGGGTGGCTTTTGGCCCATTTAGGGTCCCCAAACAGAGAAATCAGCTGTAGGGTGCGGATCCCTCGGCTGTTGCGCTAACTGCGCAAAACCGGAAGCCCGAATGTTACTTGTACGTTAATGGAGGCCTCCACAGACCGACCCGGGAAGGCATTGCAGGGGAGAGCCAGGATAGTCTATGGCAGCCAAAAGTCAAGACAAGAAAAGAAAGGAGCACCACAAAAAGTGCTACCAGACATATTCCACTCCTAATATGGAGGAGTAGAAATTTGGTAAAAATGGCAACTTTATGAGCAACATGGAAAGAAAAGAGTTTTTCTTTCCTCATATGTGATATTAGAATTTGAGATCATCCATTGAAATCCACAGAGGGAGAAGCAGTTTGCACACGATCAGAGTATGGAATTGGCTGCCAGTCAGTTTGGGCAGTTTCAGAAGAGAAGGATTATGGAGAAAGCCACTCTACTTGCTGCCAAGGCAGTTGACCTTTTGCCTCAAAGACAGCCTACTTCAAGTAGGGGCACCTGGAACCCCAGGACAAGAGGCTGCTCAGATGATGAGCTTCCCAAATGCACTCACTGATGACCACGGCAGACTGGCTGAGGTCCTGATCTGAAGTGCATTATCTTTTGGGGGGGTATGTAGATCACTTGAAGGAATGAGAGTGTTCTTGAAATGCAATTCTTGTAGGAAGAAATAACTTGAACCTTTCCAACTTCATCCTTAATCCTGCTGTATTTATTGGTTTTTTTTTCTTCTTTTTTGCAGGTTGGTGACATTGTGAAGGTCACAAGGATGAATATCAATGGTCAGTGGGAAGGAGAAGTGCATGGTAGAAAAGGGCTCTTCCCCTTCACACACGTCAAAATAATTGACCCTCAGAATCCTGATGAAAATGAATGACCTGCTGGCCCATCTCTGCATTGCTGCTTCCTTTTTCTGGCTATCTTGAGCATCATTTGAAGTGTGATGGTTGCTGATGGCGCATCCTAAGGATTGCCAGTCACCCATCTTTCCATCTTGCAGTGATTTCACAGCCCGACCACGCCTTTCTTGGGAACGCACCTGGTGGTCTGGCATTTGCAGTTTCTCCTAGAAGGTTTTTGGATTGTGAGCTGACTGTGGTGCTATCTAGGCAGAGGGGGAGGGATTGAGACATCCAGTTCCTTCACTGAAATGGATATTTTGCTCAGAAAGAGAATTCTAAACAATTTTGTCTAACTCCAACCAATAATAAAAATGCATTTTTATGAGGCATGGAAGACGAGAGCATATAATCATGTTAAACAATTAGAATAATTATGCCTTTAGGGAATTATTGATGCTTCTGTGTCATAAAGAGGTGGGGTTTTTTTTGAGTTTGCCATTGATTTAGAATAAATTGTAGCAAACTCTTTTGAAAACTACATTTCCTCATTGTCATCTTTTTATAACTATGTATATAATTGATTCATTTGCCATATACCTGCCTAAACCTGTTTGATTCAGATTTATTTAGATCTGAAATAATACTTCAGGCACTAAATACAATTTTTTAGAAGAAACTTACACAAGCTTTGATGAAACTACACTTACCCCTTTAAAATCAAAAGTTTTTTTAAAAGCAAAAACTAAGCATTGATAATCAGTTACAGAGAATGCAACAATAACTCAAAGGATATTCCTGAGCCTTTGTTTTCTGCATAGAGGCACAGGAGTACAAAGTCTTCATAAAATCATTTCTCTGTGCTAATTTTAAACACAATAAAATATGGTAATTAAGAAACTTGAATGTTGGTTATAGCACGTGAAGACCTTGACTCCCTGAGTGATGTTTTTGAAAGTTCACTGGTGCTGGTCTCTTAAGCCGTTGGACCTCAGGAGGGATGTATCCAACTTAGTATTCAAGTGCCTTAATCTGAGGATGACAGGTGCTGAAGGGGGCAGTTGGAGCAGTTTGGTCTAGAGAGAAACCTTTTCAGATCACCAGCAGTGCTGGGCAAGTGGCTGATGGTCTGGTGAAAGGACTGTGAATTAGACTCGCCTGGATGCTTCATAATCAACCATAATGTGGCTGTTCTATTAAGTGCCTGGGCACGTTCGAATGACTGTTGTACTACTGAGCTTTGTGTTAGGAATATTTAAGCTGCACTAAATGTCAGTCTGCCGTTCAATAATTCTGCCTTACAGCTGGCCTAATTCAGGGCAATATCTAAGCTGTGTATAAACGTTTTGGCTTGATGAGCTGCAGAGCGAGCAAAGACACCTGGAATTGAGCTAATTGTGCTTCTGCTGGGCTACTGGTAGAACAGCCAACACTTTCCTTTTTCTTTGGTTAGCTCCACCCTCAGTTGCTTTCTTGGTAAACAGAGTTTGGAGTTTCATAGACAGCTATGCAAGTGAGTCTCAAGCCATTGTCAAAGGCCACAGGAAGAGAAGCGGCAGTCAGTGGCCTTCACACCCATCTGAAGTAGACTTGGAACAGCTTTGATCAGAGCTGGTAAAGGCAGTTCAGACATAGCATACTAAATTAATTTGATGGTACGTTTCAATGGCATCCAAATGTTGGCTACTTTACTGCTTTTTTCTGTTTTGTTTTTTCCTACCTAGAGAAGTTGGATGTGCTCTTGATTGTGAATGTCACAAAGGATAAACTGTCCTTGCTGTTTCCTTATGACTGGTGTGTTCAGAGACCTTCCTGTGGAAACCAGCGTCTCTGCATAATTGTGAGGATTTTTTCAGTCTGTGCATTTTCATGTAAGGTATTAAAAGCTTTGAAATGGAATCCTTGTCAGGTGACTCAGAAATTAGTTCACTAATTGAGCAAGAGTGTGCAGGGGCAAATCTTCAAATTGTGGCCATTGACTGTGGAAGGTCTTCCATTTCTTCATTGCCACAATTGGCAGGCAAGTCCTAAAAGCTGTCCCTCATCAGGGAAGTCCTGACTGAGATCAAGGAAGGTCTTAAGGGTTGTCATATTAAGGAGTGAAAAGCATTTGTTCTGATATTTCATGTGTGTTTTTATTTTACTTTGCTGGGTGGGTGTGGGTGTGGAATTGGAAATGAAATACTGTAGAATGAGAATATCTGAACACAGGTTTGGCTGCCCTGTCAGTATTTTTTTTGGGGGGGGGGGTATCTCCAGCTGAATGTGATTGTTGGTTGCCATTCTATGGTAGGAAAAGGTAGCCTGAAGTTCATACATCTTTTCAAGTCAGTAAAGCATCATTTGAATTCTGGGCAGTTAGATGTTGGGGGAGGGGCTCTCTGACCTCCAGGAAGATTTGGGGGATGCCTAGCTGAAATAGGCAGTGTAAAGTTATGTGGGAAAGGGGTGCATGTGAGATGCTGCCTAGGGACAAGATAATCCACAGCTGCATAGTGGGTGGAGCAAGAGGTTCAGAAGGGCCCCCTCCCTAATTTATCAGTCTGTAAAGGACAGAGTGGAATATTTGTACTTTCAGACTTGCAAGATTCTGTTAACGTAGCTTTACAGAAAGGTTATTAGGCCCAAATCCAAAGACAACACAGTGAAATCCTATCAACTCCAGTCCTTTATTAGTCTACTTCTAATGGCAGAATCTTGCCAAACTAAAGCTATGATTCTCCAGCAGGATGGCTGTAGAATCCACCGGATGGGTTATTACAGCCTTCCTGCTCAGCAGACTAGGTCAGAACTTTGGCCACACCCCTTCTTTGGGTGTGACTCCAGTTTTGACTTAGTCTTGAGCTCGGCAGCACATAAATTTTCAGGCTCCATAGCCAGATTAGGTTTCAAAATAGATTAGACTTCAATTAGAATTCATTTGGCTGATTTCAATTGGCAACATTAAAATCGCTAGCAAATTGACAAAATTAGCATAATAGGGAGGCGGCCGGCGCCTGGCTTTTCGGCAGCGAGCTCCAGGCCTCCTGCCGAGTCATTCTGATTGATCCGAGTCTGCTCTCTTTACCGCCTCGATTTGGCTTGAGCTTCGAGCTTTCGGTCCACCGGCTGATTCAGGCATTCCCTTCATTTATTGAGCGAGCCTTGGAGCGGTAGCAGCGGCCGGTGGCCGCTCAGCTGAGAGGCGGAGAGTTTTTCCGCGGCCAGAGTCGATCGGGGGAGCCGGCGCAGCAACGCTTTCAAGCCTTGCAAGGAAAAGCGAATCTGCAGGTTGCTTGTGGGATTCCCCCTGGCCAGTTCTGAATAGTTATTTATCTATATTTGTTTTTTTCTGGTTACCATCACTGCCTAATCTCCTGCCTCCAGGGAAGCCTCCTTTAGGGAGCGCGGCCGCCATTTTGACCGCGTGTCTTTCACTGACGGACGTTATTTTAAGGACGTTCTTTCTCCGGACGCCATTTTGGGTGTGCTACAGGCATCCACCATTTTGGGTGGGTCTACCTGCACGAAAATTCCCAAGTTCTCTTACCGAGTGAAGGGAATATTGACAGCCCTCGCAGGAAGAATATCTAAAATACCCCAGTGGTCTGACTTGTCAGCCCCACATTGGGGGGAGAGAGTACAGGCTCAGCCAGTCTGAAATTACTGAGTTGGTATTTGTTTTTCTGTCAGCATACTTCCGGGATTGCTACTTTAGCAATACCTTTTCCTGGTGAAGGGGCGACTGGAAAGACCCCTTTTACTTCCAACTGCTCTAGTGAAGTGGCATTTGTCACTGGCCTGACAGTTTTTCTCCTTTGGCGAAGCACCTGACTGTCTGGCCATTGCATTGTACAGAATGAAGATTGTTTTACTTCCATCTCTGTAAACTGGTCTGCATGCTTGAATTTTCCCCCCACCTCCAGGTATTTCCTACTCGGTATATCTGGTTCGCAATGGCAGACAGCGTCTCGCATTCAGCTCCATAGGTCTCCAGAATGCCCCCCACTAGAACAGAAGTCCCCAACCTTTTGGGCGCCAGGGACCGGTTCCATGGAGAGAGGTTTTTCCGCGGACCAGAGGGGGCGTGATTGTGTGTGCTGCCTGCATCTTGCAGATGGGGCTTTGTTTGTTTGTGCAGACCGGTTGCTTGTATGCTGTGGCCCGATACCGGTCCACGAACCAGGGTTTGGGGACCCCTGGACTAGAAGACCTCCAAGGTCCCTTCCAACTGGGTTATCTATCCTGAGAGATTCTAGGTGTGGCTACTCTGAACCACTTCCCTGGCAAAGCTGTGCTTCTCCAGGTGCACATTCCATCACAAAGGTAGAATTAGGTTATTTGGTCATGGTTCCTGTCTGGTCTATTGACATCAATCTTGCAATCTTTGCAGCCCAAGAAACTAGGAATAGTCCCTCCTGGGCCTCTTGCTCCGCCCTCTATTCCGTGACCCTTCCCTGGGCTGCCTGTCCTCCCCATGCCCCAAGGTCTTTCTCGCACATCAGTGCAGACTGCCAGTCTACTTCTTTGGGCCAAATGAGATGGATCGAGGCTCTTGCTCACCAGAGACCGTCTCCTGAGATTTGTGGACTTTGAGGGTTTGTCATGGCTTTTTATTTTATGCTACAAATTAACAGTATTAAGTATATTTTTAGAACACATGAAATGTGTTAAAATTAGTGCCTTTTTGTTTTCTTAATATATTTCACTACTGGTCCCACATCGAGCAAAGGAATTCAGTGAGTGCTCTATTTGTATTACTTTCAATAAAACATGCATCCTGTTTGCAGAATTCTTGTCCCATTTCTTTCCTTGGCAAACCTGTCACTCGGCTCTGAGTGAAAGATAAAATACGAGGGGTTTTAGTGCCCTGAGCAGCAGACCTCTCCCTGCTGGCCGCTTCTCCCTTACGGGCAGAGGGCTCTAAGGCAGAGGACCCAATCCACTACCTCCCCCCCCCAAAAGCCAGGCAATTTGATTTACATATGGATTGAATTAGTTTTTGTCCTGAGCTCATCCCAAGGTACCACAGAAATGCAGGTGGAACATTTTAAAATGTATTTTATGAACTCCCATCATCAGAGTATAGCTGGACAGAACATTGGAAGAGAGGAGCTATTTTGTTACTCTTCACATTGGAAAGGTGGTGAGAAGGGTGTGCCGACCAGAACAATGGAACAGCCACTTCATAGACTGACAAACTAGTTACCCCCTTCCAGAATGTTGTGTGATGCTCTAGGAGACCTTGAAATGTTGCTTCCTGCGGGTGGTAAATTGTGTGCATGAAGGAAAGCAACACTTTGTTGGGACCTCAAATCTTGTGTTCAAAAAGGTGGCCAGGAAAAAGACTTGAGTCTTCTCAGATGCCGAGTGAACCCGGGGGCACCACTTCCCAACAGGACTGTTGCCCTTTGCCTCCAGCCCTGAAGTAAGTGGCAAGTCACCCCCAAAACATGGAATCTTGTGTACAGTGTTCAAATGTCCAGTGATTACCCAGTAATCCTCCGGTGATACCTGTTAGCAATAAGGCCTTGTCACCTTTGCAGAAGGCATATTTGGGGTGCCTCCTGCCCATATTCAGCACCCCTCAGAGGAAAGGTGCCTTCTCACCAACATGCATAAGGGAACAGTGAGCATTGGCTGCAGTCTGCCTTACCCCCAGCGGTAGATGCTGGGCTCCCTGCAGAGAAGGCAGCATAACTTCTAGCCCTGTATTCACTGGGTGGGAGAACCACCTGCTGGCTAAAGCTTTGATCCAGAACATAGGGCACATACATTAGCCCCTGGGATCTGGGTTTGCCAGCCGGCTCTTCAGCATGTCCAGTCACCTCAGCGTTGTCCTGCCAGAGTGGAAGGGGCAGAGTGGCAGCCAAGCTTTCGTGCTCAGGAGCCATGGGGAAGTCCAGCTGATGAGGCCTGGCCCAGAATTCATTGAAGGTGCTCAAGTCCTTGAAAGAGGCTGGCAGAGGTATCTCACCAATTACAGGAAACCTGAGGGATAGAGAAGACAGAGTTGCAAATATTTGAAGAAGCAGCCAATTGGTCGTTGTAGCAGGGGACGGGGCAGGTGACCACTATGGTAAGAAATTATTGATAGCTGTTGCTTTGCCAAAATTCATCTCATTTCTCCCACCCTTCAGTTGCTCCACTGAAGTTTCTTGGCTTCTTCAGTTTCACAGATATTTGTCCTTTTAATTTCATACTTTAATATTAGCTGTCTATCCACATCAAGATGGCTTGGCAAGAAACCTAGTTATTGAAAACCTGGAGAAACAATAGTTTAACAATCATCCTGGGTCAAAACTTTGTACAGAAGGAAAAAGTGGGTTAATGACCCAGATTCTTTGCTCTCAGGGGCAACTGATAAGACCTTCCTTCCTGTGATAATTCTTGTTTGTCCAAGTACATTTTGTAAAAAATACATTTGACAGAAAAGAATTGAAATATTCTGAACACAAAATTTAATATTCAGAATATTCATTATTGCGTGCTCCAAGTCTAGATAAAACCCAAATTTGGAACAAATCAGCCTATTTGGCCCCAAAGCAAAGCAGAAGCAGTATGTGCCATTCCATGTTGTTTAGGTCCAATGTTCCACAACTGTCAGCCTTACAAGATGGATCCAATAGGAAACAATCAGATGAATTGTAGCATCCCTCCCCCCTTTTACAGCTTGAGAAACTAGGGAGGGTCCCTTCTGAGCCTCTCAGCCTGTCTTAATTTACATGCAGGAATATGGGCCAGAGATCCCCACTGAGAGTGCCAAAGTCACCTTGGCACTGGAAAGGGCCGTGTCTTGTTGGATGGTGACACTCCACAACCTGAATGTACCCGAGCTGAGAAACTTCGACCACTTCAGGACAGATTCAAGAATCCCCTGGCTGACTGCAAAGCGAGGGATCACATCAAGACCCGTGAGGCAAGGTCACTAAGCTGTGGCAGAGTACACCAAGGAGTTTCATGATTTGGCATGTCGACTCAGCGACTGGCCAGAGGACATCCTCATCAGCTGCTTCAAAGACGGATTGAACGATGACCTGTACAACCCCTGGGTCTCGAGGGCCCCCTCCCGCAACCCTCCACCGCTGGTATGTCCTAGCAGAGGAGGTGGAAATCGACCAAGCATGCAACATGTACCACGCCACGCAGCCATGGAAGAAATCACCCAGTTCATTCCATCATTCGCACAAATAGCCCTCCCTATCACAAATCTGCTAAAGACCAAAAAGGGGGGGGGGACAAACCTAAACCCAGTCAACCTCTAAAATGGATGAGTGAATGCCAGGTGGCATTCAAAAATCTTAAGCGACTGTTTGCAGCTGAATCAGTCCTAAAGCATCCTGACCTGAGAGCACCATTTGTTATTCAAGTCGATGCTAGCGCGTGGACACTGTAGTTTCTAGGAAACTATCAGAGACTAAGCAAAAGTGTGGGCCATTTGGGAGAAGGAGAATATGCAGTGAGATGGGCCCTCCTGTCTTGGAGGCACTTCCTAGATGGGAGCAAAATACCTTTCGAGGTGGGGACAGATCACAAAAATTTGGAGACACTGGGTAGGGGTAAGCTTTATGTATCCCAGAAATTCAAAGGCTGATGGTTTTGGGAAAAGGCCATGATTCCAAATTGGTGGAACACTTTGGTTTGTAAAGACTTTGTATTTGATAAAAAGAATTCTGGTGGCCATCTCTCAGGAAGGACATTGAGGGCTATGTGGCAAGCTGCCCTGTATGTGCTGTGGCTAAACTCTAGGACTTCTTCAAATTGTAGCTGAGCCTTCAGCACCCTGGAGAGAGATTTTGTCCGAAATAGTGTAGGGTTTCCTGCCTGAGCAGGGGGTTGGACTCAATGACCTCCAAGGTCCCTTCCAATTTATTATTATTATTACTTCCAGAGTGCTCAGGAAACACCATTATATGGGTCGTAACTGATTTATTGTATAAACTATACTTTATTCCATGTCCAAAAATCCCATCAGTGCAGGGGCTAGCCAAATTATTTTTGCATCATATTTACCGATTACATGGGGCACCTCAAGGCATCATTTCAGATAGGGGGGTGCAATTCATTTTTAACGAAATGGGGGTTTTGTACACGTGAATTCAGTATTGGAACAATATCTCCGATGCTTTATTAATTATCAGCAAGATGATTGGACTGATCTGTTGCCTGTTGCAGAAGTGGCTTACAACAATTCTGTACATGGTAGCACAAGATTCACCCCTTTCAGGGTGGCCATTGGTCAAGACTTTACTCCTATGCTGAAACTACCCCTGAAAGACCCTTTGGTGGCTTCCCAATTACAAAACACATGGTCTGTTGTGGGAAAGCCCTTGTAGATGCCTGAGAAGCTTACAAAACTCAAGCAGACAAGAAATGCACAGAACACAAAACATTCAAAATTGGTGATCATGTCTACCTCTCCACATGTTACCTACAGTCTCTGCTGGGACCCAAGTTTGTGGGGCCTTTTTCCATTAAGCGTATCATCAATCCTGTGACTGTAGAACTAGACTTGCCAAAATCCCTGCATAGGGTCCACCCTGTGTTCCATTGTAGTTAAAACTTGAGGTTGTTTTTCCTTTTACACCAAGCCTTCCACTACCTCCTGTACCTCCTGTCAAGGGGGAGCAACATTTTGAAATTCGTGAGATTTTAGATTCCTGCAGGCATAAGGGAGAAATCCAATATTTAGTCTCGCAAAAGGATTTCCCCAAAGCTAAGCATGAGTTGGTGAATCACTGTCACCTCAGGGCTCCCAGACTTGTAAAATATTTTCATAACGAATACCCTGATAAACATAAATGAGTATATACATTAATCTCATGTTTTCTTTCTCTCCCTATTCTTTGCATGCTTTCGCTTTTGCTGTAACCCAGTGTTTCTCAACCTGTGGGTCGCGACCCCTTTGGGGGGGGGTCGAACGACCTTTTCACAGGGATCGCCTAAGATCATTGGGAAACACATATTTCCCATGGTCTTAGGAACTGAGACACTGCCAAAACTGCCACCGCCGCCTCAGGAACACGCAGTGGATGAGCCAAGGAAAGGAACTGAATGAGGAGAGGGGGCGTGCCTGCCTGCGTGTTTGTGTGTGCATTTGTTTAGAGTCACTATTTTCAACTCCCAATAATACAAAGACAAAAAAAGATTGACGTGAATAAAATGTGGTGGAAGACAAGTGCTGTGTGTGTGTGTGTGCACGTGCACGGTGTTAATCATATTCTTTCCCTCACGCACCTTGAGTCGCAACGCCAATAATTGTCTGCTCTCAGTTCGTGACAAGCGAGGCTCTTCTCTCTTTTTCCATCCCTGCTTTGAGTGAAACGTTGAAAACCGTACGACGCCAAGAGGCGCGCGTCCCGCTGGCAAGGCTCGGGGAAGCGCCAGGATCAGCCCCCCCTTTCTGCCTGATGAGTGCTTCTCCGAGGCCAGGAGAGCTCCGGGGAAGCACCAGGATCAGCGCCCCTTTCTGCCTGATCAGTGCTTCTCTGAGGCCGGGAGAGCTCGGCCCCTTTCCGCCTAATTGGCGCTCCTCCGAGCCTGGGAGAGCTCAGGGGAAGTGCCAGGATCAGTGCCCCTTTCTGCCTGATCGGTGCTTCTCCTAGACTGGGAGAGCTCAGGGGAAACACCAGGATCAGCGCCCCTTTCTGCCTGATCGGCGCTTCTCCGAGGCCGGGAGAGTTCAGGGGGAGCACCAGGATCAGCGCCCCTTTCTGCCTGATCAGTGCTTTTCCGAGGCCGGGAGAGCTCGGCCCCTTTCCGCCTAATTGGTGCTCCTTCGAGGCTGGCAGAGCTCAGGGGAAGCGCCAGGATCAGCTCCCCTTTCTGCCTGATTGGTGCTTCTTCTGGAGCTGATCCTGGTGCTTCTCCTGAGCCCCGAAGAAGCACCAATCTTCTGGAAAGCGGCATTGATCCTGGTGCATCTGCTGAGCCCTGAAGAAGCACCTATCACCTGGAAAGCAACATTGATCCGGGCCAGCGCACTCACACACACACAAACACGTGTGAGCAGTTACAGCTGAAGGCGTTTCAGCCTTCAACTATGGCTCCCAGTCCTCTGGCGCCTCATTGGCTCAGGCCAGCCGTCCGTCAGAATCTACATCCCGTGATTGGCTGGCTCCCTCAATGCGTCCCTCCCTTGCAGAAAGGGTTTGGCTTTTCATGCCGGTATGCCCCTCACGGGGCTCCTGATACTGTAGGCCCCGCTAGCTGGGAAAGTGCACCGGAGTCCCGGCTGCCAGTAAGATGATCGACCCACTCCTCTCCCATTGCCCGCTCTGCCCAGCTCAAGCCTGGCTGGAGCAGCCTTGGTGCTTCCAAAGGTGGCCACTTCAAAGTCACACAGGCAGCCCTTGGCCGCTCCCCTCCCCTCCGTGCCTCCAAATCGATCCCTAATCGAAGAGAGAGAGAGGGAGGGAGGGAGGAAGGGAAGGAGGAAGAGAGGGAGGGAGGAAGAGAGAGAAAGAGGGAGAAAGAGAAAGAGGGAGAGAGAAAGGGAGGGAAAGAGGGAGAGAGAAAGAAAGGGAGAGGGAGAGAGAAAGGGGGAGACAGAGAAAGAAAGGGAGAGAGGGAGAGAGAGAGAAATAGAAGGGGAGAGAAAGGGAGAGAGAGGGAGAGAGAAAGAGAAAGAAAGAGGGAGATAGAGAGGGAGAGAGAAAGAGGAAGAAAGAGATTAAATTAGTAACATGGTTGTTAAGTGAATCTGGTTTCCCAACTAACTTTGCTTGTCAGAAGGTTGCAAAAGGTGATCACATGATCCTGGAACAATGTGACCATCATAAATATGAATCAGTTGCCAAGCATCGAAATGTAAATCACATGACTCTGGGGATGTTGCAATGGTCATAAGTGTGAAAAATGGTCACAAGTCACTTTTTTCAGTGCCGTTGTAACTTTGAGCAAACTGTTGTAAGTCAAGGACTACCTGTACTTTATCACTTTTTTCCAGGTTTTTTGGGGTCAAGTTTTTGACATCTCGCTAGGTGACTGGT